GGTCTAGAACTCCTGGGCTCAAGCAATCCATCTGCCTTGGCCTCTCAGAGTGCTGAGATTACAGGTGTGAACCACTGTACCTTCCCATAATGAAGCATTTTCATCATTGGAATAAGAGTTATGCATGTTAGTTTAGGAATAGGTTACGCCAACAGAGAAAGGAATAAGATTTGTCTTTCCATTAGCAAAGATTTAGCAGTGCCTTTTTAGTACTTTAAATATTTGTTATTGAAATCAAGGGATAGTCGTCAATGTTCCTGGGTGATAATCAGCATTTTTCTTAGAGATTCTTTTAAAAGAATATTATAGTCTGTGGAAAATGTTGGATTTAATCCATTTTGAAATTTAAAAGGAAAAAATTAAATAACATCTGTTCACTGGTAATCATTTTTAGCTTTTTTAATGATATTTTAAAAGATTTTCCCCCAGGTACATGTATGGATGCCTGACATGAAGGTCACTAATACTTTTCAAACATAATTTATATTTTAAATTGTTACCTTTTAAGTTTTGTCATTTTTCTTTTGTATGTCCTGCTTCCCCCTTCCTCCATTTAATGTAATTGATTGAGCTTTTCTTATACCAAACTAAAAGACATCCATAGCAACCATTATTTATTATTGAGTTCCTGCTATGTGATGGGTATTCTGAGCTTGGAAATTGCTGAGATGTATGGTATTGTACTTATTAAGCAGATATCATGCCCATTTTACAGATAGGGCAGGCAGTTGGAAGGATTATAAAACATGCCCAAGTTCTTGAAGCAGGTAAGTGGTAGAAATAGATCAATTTGACTTGAATGCACCTGCTCCACACAGAATGACTGATAGCCAAGTGACAGTACAAGATATGTTTGTGAATTTCCAGAAATCTTTGAAAATATCACTTTAGCAACTTTAGCATTTTGCTCTATTTTGTCTCAGAAAGTTTAATCTCTTTCAGATTGTTTAGGATTTTAGTTAATAAAAAGAACAACCCTCAAGACAACATTTGTGGGGTTTTTTTTAAGGATAATAAGCATTTGCTGCTGCTGTTTTTGCCTTGTCTTGTAATTTTATTAACCATTTAATAACATTGTTAAGAGACAATAGCAATATATTTTAGTACCCACCTTAGCATCCATTTTTAAGCAATGGTCACGTATAAAAATTTTGGTGGAGAAAATACAGTGGCTCTTATTGAAACTGAAATTAAAAATTATATAAAATCGCCAAGTCTAAAATAGTGGGTGGTATAGGATAAACCCCCAAAAACATAGCTATAACCACAGATTGGTTTTTATATATTGATATTATAAAGAAGATTTGACTTTTTCTTTTATAGCAAACCATAATTTGTTAAAAATTATTCTTCAGCCAGGCACGGTGGCTCACTCCTGTAATCCCAGCACTTTGGGAGGTTGAGGAGGGTGGATCACCCTAGGTCAGGAGTCCGAGACCAGCCTAACCAACATGGTGAAACCCCATCTTTACTAAAAAAAAATACAAAAAATTAGCTGGGTGGAGTAGTGGGCACCTGTAATGCCAGCTACTCAGGAGGTTGAGGCAGGAGAATCACTTGAGCCTGGGAGGCAGAGGTTGCAGTGAGTCGAGATTACACCATTGCACTCCAGCCTGAGCAACAAGAGTGAGACCCCATTTCAAAAAAAGAAAAAAGAAAAGAAAAATAATGACAATAATAATTCTTCACTGATGGGGTGAGGGAGTTGATGTCAAATAAATAGGGAAGTGAGAGAAAACCACATGCGTTCGTTTGTTTTCTGCTGCTGTAACAGAATACCACAGACTAGGTACTTTATAAAGAAGAGAAGTTTACTTGGTTCATGGTTCTGGAGCCCGGGAAGCCTGAGAGTATGTCACTGGCATCTTCTGAGGGTCATTCCATGGCAGAAAAGCGGAAGGCAGAAACAAGTGGGAGACAGAAAGCAGAGTGTGTCAAACTCATCCTCTTTATCAGGAGCCTCCTCCTTAAATAACTAACCTACTCCCATGATTATAGCATTAACCATTTCATAAGGGGTGAGCCCTAATGACCTAGCCACCTCTGAAAGGTCCTACCTCCTAATCCCATTGCACTGGGGGATTAAATTTCCTAACACGTGAATCTTGGGGGATGCATTCAAACCACAGCACTGTGAGGTAGAACAACGGCAAATCATTTGTATACCTAATGTTTTATTTGTAGTAGTTGTCATGTCAGTCAACACTTCATACTTGACCTTATGCCAGTTTTATTTAAGATTCCCAACAAGCATGTAAAGTAGTACCATTATTACCCACATTTTAAGAAAATGAAAAGCAAAAATGGAGATTTTAAGGAACTTAGCCAAAATTACATAACCAGTCAGTGGTGCCAACATTCAAACGTAAGCAGTTCATCTGCAGAACTCGTATTCCTCACTAACTACTAAGCCATAGTATCTCAGGACTAGGGCACTGGTGAATGCTGGAAAGGTAGACAAGCACTGAGAAGTATGTCATATGCTAGTCATATTTCCTATTACTATAAATTTCATTTTGGTAAGGTTTGTCATTAGATAGTTCATGCACTATAAAATTGAGACTAAAAATTCGTTATAACCTAATTAGAGAATGCCAACTGAGAGTAATATTTTTTTTTTAAATTGTATCTAAAATTCCATCTTTAATTTTATGGACTTATCTCTAAAAACTATTTTCCAATTTAATACCCTTTGAAGGGACAGTACATAAAATAGTTTATATATTTTTTATATTGAAAATACATATTATTGCTGCTTTTCTCAAGATAACTACTTTCTTCGACCACTTGTTTTGTGTGTTTGTTTTTAACCATGTACTGAATTATTGCTTCCTTGCATTTTCACTAACTTGGATTTGTTTTTGAAAAGTACTTTGCGAATAGGGAAGTGTCTGAGAGTGTGTGTGTTTGTACCTATCTTACGTATCTCCTTTTTTTTGAGGTGGAGTTTCGCTCTCGTTGCCCAGGCTGGAATGCAATGGTGCGACCTCAGCTTGCTACAACCTCCACCTCCCGGGTTCGAGTGATTCTTCTGTCTCAGCTTCCTGAGTAGCTAGGATTACAGGCACATGCCACCACGCCTGGCTAATTTTTGTATTTTTAGTAGAGACGGGTTTCACCATGTTGGTCAGTCTAGTCTCGAACTCCTTACCTCAGGTGATCCGCCCACCTCGGCCTCTCAAAGTGCTGGGATTACAGGTGTGAGCCACTGTGCCTGGCCACATATCTCCTTTATTACCTGAAATACAAATGGATGATTTGTATAATGTTCTGGTTTGGTACTATATTAGTGCATAGCAATATAATGAACATTGTATATGCATATGTGCATATACATCCAATTCGGGCAAAATTAATGACTACCATTTGTTGACCATCTATTATATGCTGGACTTTGGGGTGTTTACATATGTTCTATCATTTCATTTAATCCTCATTACAACCTTGGAAGGCAAATTTCTATCCGTATACTAACAGGAACCTAAAGCTCAGAGAAGTGAAGAAACCTAGTTAAATATTTTGGAAACTTCTTTTAGCTTAAAGTCATGAGAGAGAGTATAAAACATTTTATGAATTTATAGCATGCTTTTCATGCAACAGAAGTAGACAAAGAGTTTTATCTTGTTTGTATCCTAGTGAAAATTACACAGAAACTTATACCTCTTTGTAGAGCAAACATAATTGCAGTGTTTTGTGTAAGCATGAGTCAAGATTGGTTGGTTACCTTATGGCCCTTGGTTTCCTCACCTGTCAGAGAGAGTAATGCTTTTCTTATAGAATTACGAGAATTAAATAAAATATGTTACATATGTTAAATGAAATTATCCTGTGGCAGAAATTATTCTGTGTCAGATCCGTTTGACTTGATATATAATTTATTTAATTCTCATAATTCTAAGAGAAAAGCATTTGTATGTGTATGAACATAGATAGATTTATAGTTAATTGGTTAGTTCCTGGCAGTTGTAATTACATAATAAACTCTCTTAACTAACTTAAGTCCTGCTTATATAAAATGTTGCAATTAGGCCAAATGTAGTGGCTCATTCCTGTAATCTTAGTGCTTTGGGAGACCAAGGCAGGAGGATCCCTTGAGGCCAGGATTTCAAGACCAGCCTAAGCAATATAGGTACATCCTATGTCTACAAAATATAAAAACATTAGCCAGGCACAGTGGCATGCACCTGTAGTCCCAGCTACTCAGGTGGCTGAGGCAGGAAGACCACTTGAGCCCAGGAATTTAAGAGCAGGCTGGGCAACATAGTGGGACCCTCTCTCTACAGAAATTAAAAAGAAATTAGCCTGGTTTATGGCCTGCACCTGTAGTCCCAGCTGTGTGGGAGGCTGAGGTGGAAAGATTGCTGGATCCCAGGAATTCAAGGCTGTGGTAAGCTATGATTGTGCCAGTGCACTCCAGCCTGGGTGATCACGTCTCAAAAAAAAGTTGGTCAGTTGTGGTGGCTCATGTCTGTAATCCCAGCACTTTGGGAGGCTGAGATGGACACATCACTTGAGGCCAGGAGTTCAAGACCAGCCTGGGCAACAAGTCAAAAACTCTTCTCCACTAAAAATAGAGCAACAACAAAAAAAGCCAAGCATGGTGGCACATGCCTGTAATCCCAGCTACTTGAGAGGCTGAAACATGAGAGAATTATTTGAATTCAGGAGGTGGAGTTTGCAGCAAGTGTGTGGAGATAGAACCTGGAAGGCAGAGGTCACAGTGAGCCAAGATTGAGCCCAGAAGGCAGAGGTTGCAGTGAGCAGAGATTGCACAATGCCACTGTACTCCAGACGGGGTGACAGAACGAGACTGTCTCAAAAAAAGGAATCCTTAGCAAACTAACACAGGGATAGAAAACTAAATACCGCATGTTCTCACTTATAAGTCGGTGCTAAATGATAAGAACTTAGGAACACAAAGAAGGAAACAATAGCCACTGGGGTCTACTTGAGGGGAGTCGGTGGGAAGAAGGAGAGGAGCAGAAAAGATAACTATTGGTTACTGAGCTTAATACCTGGATGATATGTACAACAAACCCCCGTGATGTGTTTATGTAACAAACCTTCACAGGTACCCCTAAACCTAAAATAAAAATGTTTTTAATTGTGATCATGTTTTAGGACTGGAAGAGAAAAATCTGTGATAATGTTTTTATTATTTAAAAGTGGTTTTTTCGGCCGGGCACGGTGGCTCACGCCTGTAATCCCAGCACTTTGGGAGGCCGAGGCGGGTGGATCATGAGGTCAAGAGATTAAGACCATCCTGGTCAACATGGTGAAAACCCGTCTCTACTAAAACTACAAAAAATTAGCTGGGCATGGTGGCACGTGCCTGTAGTCCCAGCTACCCAGGAGGCTGAGGCAGGAGAATTGCCTGAACCCAGGAGGTGGAGGTTGCGGTGAGCTGAGATCACGCCGTTGTACTCCAGCCTGGGTAACAAGAGCGAAACTCTGTCTCAAAAAAATAAACAAATAAATAAATAAATAAAAGTGGTTTTTTCCTGAGTCTTACTTTGAAAAATTATATGGAATAGTTTGCATGGCATATTCCTTGCATCGTAGAACTTTCTCTGCTTCAGGCCAAATTGAAATAGAGACAGAAAACAAAGAGACCAAGAGAGGATATGGAGAATATCAACCATTTGTTTCCTTTCCTGTATTCAAAGACAAACATCTTAGTTGTCTGGATCTATTGAAATTAGTACTTGTTAAAGCTTTTAAATGTTACTAGAATACATTGTTAAAGCCATATCTAATTAAATTTTTCTGATTAAGCATGATTAAATAATTGTTTCAGCAATTACACAGTTCATGATTATGGTGTGTGATGGGACGCTATTTTCTTTTAAATCTGTTATTAAGTAAAATATGTATTGGTGGCCAAGTATAAGTTTTAGTGCGACTTGCTGTCTCTTGGAAATTTTGCATATATAGCTTAAAGACCAGTGGAGTAGATTGGGAAGTTCTGTCAGCTTCATAATTTTGGAAAACAGAAACAAAAGAAAAAACAATGCTGATTAAACATTCTTAGCCATAAGAAGATATGTGAGTGTGGCTTAGCTAATAAATAATACCTACTTTCTTACTATGTATCACTTAATGACATTTTTTGCTATGAAATATATAATAGTTATGCATTTGCTATTTTGCAGTTATTTCACTGCCCTATTAACATCAAGGGTAACTGATTGTTGTATTAGTAGTTCCTGACAAATAGAAATTATTTGATATTCTATGCCATTTCTGACAAGATATAAAGTTTTGACAAACACATATGGCACAGCAAGTGTCCAATTCTAAAGAGCAAAATAAATGCAAACCACCATTATGGTGAACACAAACAGCCTGAAAGCAAGTTATCAGTAAGCAAATAATTGTTGAACTGTTATGAATGGAATAGGATGTTGAAATAGGGCATGATTGGCTGATGTTACATATGTCCTTGATTACCTTCCTTGTGCTTTTATCCTAATAAGTGACATTCTTTGTATTCCCTTGGATGGCTAGACAGTCTGACACTGAAGAAGAATAAATATTGCATGTGGTACACATTAAGCTGTCATCCAAGACAGCATTTATAAAAAGTAACTGAGAAATTCATAAGAAATTCTGCACTGCTCCAGTTTCCTGGCTCCAGTCATAATTGTCAAAGTTCTTGACACATTCAGGTCTTCAGAAATGATTTAGGTTTACAGTGGTTTGGTGTATGAATAATTATTATGGATTTGAGTTCTCATATTGCCTTTGGATGTTAATGTTGGTTACCAAAATGTTATATTTTATGATAATTTTTATTTTAAGAAATGTCTCTATATTGATAATTGTGACATATCTTCCACCTTACAGACTTTCATCAAAGGCTTTTAGACAATTCATGTAATTGAAAGGAAGAACAGAAGTTTTTAAATGTTTACATTATCTTTAATCTGTTGGAAAATATTGCTTGCTTGTGTTTAGTGCTAGCAAACAATTTTGAAAATAAGTATTTTTATTTTTCTTCCCTAGCAACATTGGAAAGCCTTCAAACAGTCTAAATGAATACCATTTTAAAACTATTTCCAAAAAAACCAAATCACTGATGTTTCATTTTAAAATATTGTATGCTTTTATTCACATACTTTTGTTATTTTAACATAGTTCTTTGAGGCAAGTGAGTATTTTATTTGCTGCAGTCACTATTTTCTCTTAAAATTTCCTTCCATAGGATGGTAGGTAGAAATTAAGATATAATATTATACTGCAATAAGCATACCTAAAGAAAGAGGTAAATTATGAATGTAAATTTAGAGAGCACATTTTAAGCCCCTTTGTCTTTCTTTAAAACACCTCCCCTTTTTAAGCTATCTATATGGTATATAATGTCTGAAGGATGCCCCCTCCAAATTATTTTTATATTTTTGTAATCTGACACAATTATCTTAAACCATTTGAAATTAAGCAATTAGTAGTCTCATTCTATAATCAAATCAAGAATATAGTATATTCTATCAGCTGGTGATTTCTAAAATGTGATTAAGTATCAGAATGATTTAGGATCCAATACCAATATGAAAATAAAATAACAGCGTTAAGTTCCAAATTCTGAGCCCCTGTTTTAGGGGAATGAGTGGACAGTGAGGGTTTCTGTAACAACTGTATTTTATGTTGGTTTTAATATTTATAATATTAATTTGGGAAAATGTTTAGGATGCTGTCTTTGCTTCGAAATCTAAACTATCCATTTAGATTGAAGAAACTTTTCTCCAAGTATAACACTACTCCAATGTTACCTATAGCTTTTAACTCTCTAGGCCACTACAGAGCACAAAATATTTGCCCAACTGGTAAATTGAACCGTGAGTCCCACTGTGGGAAATTGCTTTGCTGTGCTCCAAACAGCAGTTATCTTAGTAATTGTACCTGAATTCTTTGTGGCTAATAGAGCGTAGACGTCCATTTTACAAACAGAAAATTATTTCTCTTAAATACTTTTAATTATAAAGTCCCCAAATAAAATGTGAGCCAGTAGACAATAGTGAGACATTAAACCACATCATTTTTAATTGTTAGTGCAGAAAAGTGAAATTCTTTTTTCCTTTTAGTGTAAAACTGTACATATCCGACATTTCACATTCTAAACTGGAGCTCCCAACAAGGAGCTTATCAGAGCAAATTGTCTAGTCCATCCCCTTCCTCACTCAAAACCTAATGACCCTTTATCATCATGGTTTAGATTGCTGGACACAGATGTGAGAAAATACAAGTAATCTCCAGGTAACTACAGTAGCTGCACTGATGTTCTCAGAGAACTGACTGCTGGGAAGATAAAGAGCTTCCCACAGAGTCTGTGACTTTCTGGCAGCAAGGCACATCATGAGCTCATACATGAAGTTTTATTTGCTGAAGATTCACAATAAGATGCATTAGAACATTCAGCAGGGACTCTTTTTAGATGAGCACAGAAATTCTGGAGGGTTATTAGTTGATGCACCAGTGCATAGCGTCACACTAAAATAAGAATAATTCTACAATAATCCTTTCCATGTACACCAAAGATTATGACCACAATGCGGCATTATTATTGACTTCTTTTCTTGATATTTATATAATCTACTAAACTCTAATCACTTTCTCTTCACAAATGGCTGAACTTCTTGCTGAAAACAGTTTGGTTATGGTTTTTAATAGGAAAGCAGAACAGCAGTTTCTCAAACTTTAATACTAAATTGCATTTCAAAGGACTTGTTTGTGGCCAGGTGCTCTGCTTTTGTTAGCTGCTTAGATTGTGATCAGTGAGGTAAACTCATTTATCTGTTTGCATGCAATTGAGTAATTTACCATGAAAAGAATGAGTGGTTTTTGGATAAAGGTACTGCACCTGTAGCTTAAGTTTTATAATTGTTAGTTTGACTATTATTTGCAATGATCATAGTTTCATACTGCTTTAGAAAACAACAATACAAAATATATTTACTTATTTATATATGAGATGTTTTGTTTTTAGTTAATGAATTTGGTTTAAGTTTACTAGATTGGGGTGAATCAATATGAATTATACTGTCTGAACTTCAGGTGTGTATTTCTTTTTAAAAACCATTTGCTTGTCGTATTTTTAAAAAGCAAATTAATTTTGTTTCTATAAAACACTGTAACTACTAGATTAGGAATAGTGATATTACTTTTGTATGTCTTCAAATGGTTTTTAGAAATTATTATTTTAATAGCTGAAAGATAAAGATAGTTTTCAACAACCAGTATTGGTTAAGCAGTTGACAGCCAACCAAAAGAGATACTGAGATATTTGATTCATTCTTATATGGTTGTGTGTCCTATGCACCTAGCTTAATTGTTGCTGTTTATGGAAAATATTGAAACACTCAGAAAATTAGAGAAGATACTAGTTAAATCTTTTTGGCTAGGTTCGTACTCATTTTTGTTTCAAGAATATTATAATGTACTTTTAAAAACAGTCCTTTGCAAATGGAGCGCCACAATTATATCAAATATATCTGCAATCTTAATAATTAATTTAATATTAAGCTTCTAGTATAGAATAGCCAGTGAGAAAAGTAAAGTTATCAGCAAACAAAACAAACAGATTATCTATAAGTACTGCTGATCATTAGAATCCCTATTATTCTTCTGATAGCAATTAGGGTCACTCTTTTTGGAGATTTTTCTGTCAGTTAAGATTTTCAGTTTACCCTGATATATTTGAAATATTCGTAGTTTCATGGCATAGATAAATCTAGAAAACAGAACACTGAAGAATTGTTTGAGGTGGTGTTATACATTAATTCTGTTTTTAGTTTCCTATAAGATCTAAAGAAAAAACTGTATTTGTTTCCATTTAGCAGCAAATAGGAAACACAGAACTCAAAATTCTACAAAGTACATTTTCCTGCCATCTTCATATTTAAAAGGAAAGAAACCAGAGGAGCATGTGCAGCATAAGATTGTTTTGCATTTTTGTTTTTACATCACCAGATTAAGTATAATGAAACCCATCTGCAAATTGTAGGAACTACTCATTGATTTTTGTCAAGGACCGTAGAGTGGTTTTTCCCTTCTTTTTCTTCTACTTTTTTTTTCTATTTCAACAAGATATACATAAAATTAAAAACCTTGTCTGTTATAAAGTTTTGTTTGAGCTTTTTAAACTGAGTGATTAGCAGAAATAATGACCCTGTCAGCCTTAATCACATTAAAATGTGGTTAACATCATTTAATTTTTTCCACTTAATATGCAAAAATTTCCAGTAGATTTGCAGTGAAGGCCATTGAAATTCCATTAGAACAAGAATAAAAATTTCAGGCATCATTTATTCAGAGAAGGAATAAGGTCTTGACTGAGAACTGCTGAATCTTTCTATTAGAGACACTATGAATCATTACATTGAATTGTACCTATGTTTCAATAGACCTGTGTCTGGCTTTTCAAGTGGTTGAAAATCATGTGTTTTTATCATTTTTCATAAGGAGAAATAAGCCAGAATTGCATAATTATTTTATAAATATTTAAAAGACTACTGAACAGTTTTTGTGCTGCTTCAACCTGCTTAAATTTTAAGTAGAAAGTTGGTTGTACTCTGGAAACAGGATAATGAAATAATTATTTTAAAACATAGAAGAAACTGCATAGCCATCCCACAAAATGGACAGATTGTATTTTAAGTGGTTATGTTGGTATATGCCAAGAAAGAAATTAAGAACCAAGTGACGCTAGCTCTTTCCCAAAGTTCATAGCTTATCATTTGTCAAGCTTCAACTGGTATGTTATGCTGCATTAGCTATGTATGAATTACAACCAAAGAATATTCTACTCTTTCTAGTATTTATTCTTCTATGATCATTTCGATATTTAATTGTTGTAATATGTTCTTAGAATTAAAAAGTAGGAAAAGCTTAATGTTATTTTAAGCAGTGTGTACCATTTATACCTTCTTTGGCATGTGCACATTTGCCAGCATCCTGAAAACTTACATTGTGTGGAATGTTTTTCCCCCATTTAAAAAAACAAAAGTGTTACTGTATATACCTGATAAGCAGAAATGGCTCTCTGGAACCATTCTTATCCTTCGGGTAATTAAGTAATTATACAGTGTTGTGGGTTTTTTTTAATTTGTATTTTGTTACTGAACCATTTGGACCCATTATACAATTACACTGTGTGTACTTTGTAGTAAAAATACCACTGGAAAATTCATCAGGGAAAGTAGTCTATGCATATGCTATTCACAAGGTATAAATTTCTCCCTCCTCCCATTTCTATGTCTGTGAAAATCTCAGAATATTGTCTGCTTTACTCATACCACTTCGCCACATCATGGTTGACTCTGTGCTTCCTCAGAAACACCTTGTCTGACTGCCTTGCCTAGAGTAATCCCCCAGACTCCCTTTTGTTCTCCATCATAAGATCATGTTTATTTCCTTCCGAGCACTTATCACAAGCTGTATAATCTTGCTTACTTGTCTCTTGTTTTTGTTTTATTTGTTTGTTTTCTTGTAAGAATTTAAATTCCATGAGAATAAGGACCATGCATGTTTTGTTCATTTTGTATCTCTAGTGCTTGGCACTGGACTCAGTAAATATTGTTGATTGATCAAATAGCTGGCTGGATGAAATCCATTGAATTTATCCCCTTTGTTCAACACTGACTTTTAGTCTTCATTAATGAAATATTTGGGTGACTTGAAGTCAGTCTATTCTGGTTAGTTACATCTATGGTTTAGAGCACAGGTGCATAGGCTGTGTATGCCAGGGTTAGCACACACTGCCTGTAATGGAACAGAATATTTTTGTCTAGGACTACACAGTCTCTGTTGTAGCTACTCAACTTTGCCATTGTAATGCAAAAGCAGCCATAGACAATATGTAAACAGATGGGCATGTCATTGTTGGAATAGAATTTTATTTATGGACACTGAAATTTGAGTTTTTGTGTTGTTTTTTTTTTTTGAAATTTGAGTTTTATATAATTTCACTGTCACAAAATATTTTTCTTCTTTTGGTTTTTTAAGTCATTTAAAAACATAAAAATCATTCACTGCACAAAAATGTGTGCAGTGAATTGCTTATCCCTCAGTCATGTGATTAGCCAAATACACATGATACACATGTACACATGATTATATATCTTCATTCATCTCTTAAAGTAGTTCCTCTCTCTCCTGCATCATCAGTTCTTCCTCATTCAGTGGATGTTCCCCAGTAGCATATAAGCATGATGTTATTTCTCTAATCCTAGAACAACAACATATTGTGACTCTGCTTGCCTTTCACACTACTGCTCATTTCTCTCCTTCCTTCTCGAAAGTGATATATTACTCATTGTCACTTGGGCCGCCATGAAAAGCTCAGCAGTCTTCTTTGTACAAATGAAGAAAAAATATCATTTGAAAAGTATAGCTCTCGATTCACAAATTGAGTTTTTGAAAATAAATAGGCAACTTGATACAATAGGAAGATCAGGAACTTTGAAGTCAGGTGGGCTTGAATCCTGCAGCTACCACTGTGACAAATGATACCAAAAATCATTAAGTAGTAAATGAATTTGCATATGTAAAATGCCTGCCAGTTTCTCCTTTCCCTTTCAAAAACATGTGGTTGTGTAGCAGCATATATTTTATTATTACTCTGCAGATTTCCCTTATTTGACAGAAAGCTAGCCTGGAAAGTAGATCATGATTAATAATTCTTCCTCAAAACAATATGACCTTCATTTTGGGGTTGGAGTTCTTGACTAGAGAAAGAGCACTTTCATTCTATGTGCATTTCTCTGTCTCTGTCTCTGTCTCTCTCAGAATAAACCAAACTTAGAAACTTCATGACCCTCTTCTGCTTGGCTTTTGGGTGACCGGCTTATTAGCCTTTCATTTATAATCTCTTCTCTACTGAGTTTTCTCTGTCTGCCATGACTCTTCCCTAGGGATTGGTAATTGCGGGATTCTGTTAACTTTCTTCACTTGCCTTCTGTGCTTATGCCTCAGCTCTAACTTGTGTACCGTTGTTCTCAAACTTTAGAGTGCATTAGAATCATCTGGAAGCTTTATTAAACAGATTGCAGGACCTCACCTTCAGAGTTTCTGATTGAGATGGGGCCTGACAATTGTCCAGCATGCTCCCAGGTGATATTGATGTTCCTGATACTTGGATGATACTTTGAAAAGCATTGCTCTCTGCTAATGATTTATAAATCTAGCCTTCGTTTCTCCTCTTTGCCCTTTACAAGCTTCATTATTCCTGATTGTCAACGAGAAATCTTCATTTGAATATTCTCTTATCATACTAAATGTAAGATTTATAAAACTAAACTCCCTGTTTTTTTCTATAGTAATATCCACAATGAAATCTACTTTCAGATTTTCCTGTCTTTGTTAGCATTGGCACCCTCTGAATCATTTAGACTTGGGCTCTTCAAATCATTTTAACATAACCTCTTTTATACATTATATTCTGTTAATCAAGTTTCATGTTTTTTCTTCTAAATCTCGCCTTTATTTATCTCTTCTTCAGTTACACTGTTTGTCAAGCAAGACTAAAATTGCATCACTTCATTTTGGAGTTAGGTAACTGCCTCCTTACTGTCCTTGACTCTGTTGCTTCTTTTCCTCTGCAGGGCATTCTGATTAGCTTTGAACACTTCCACTCTGCCATTTTTCTTCATGTCACAATCCTTCATTGAAACATAGAAGATTATCTTCACAAACCAGGATAGGCAAAGATCTCTTGGACGAGTCACAAAAAGCACTAACCATAAAAGAAAAAAAAAATGGACCTTGTTATGTCAAAAAAAACTTCTGTTTATCAAAAATCACCATTAAGAAAATGAGTAGATTAGCCACTAGCTGGAAAAATGTGTCCACAGCACAAATATCTGACAAAGGACTTGTTTTCAGAATACATATTTTAAAAATTTCTACAGATGAACAATATAAATACCAGTGACCCAGCTTTTAAAATGAGCAATACTTGAACATATACTTTATAAAAGAAGATAAATGAATAAACATAGAAAGGTACTCAGCATCTTTAAGCCATCACGGAAAGACAGATTATAATCATAGTTGAATATAATTTCATACTTACTAGAATGGCTAAAATAAAAATAACACCACCAAATGTGGACAAGGAAGGGGAACGACCAAAGGAACGTCATGCATTGTTGGTGGGAATATAAAGTGGCACAACTGCTTTGGAAAATTGGCATTTTCATTTAAGTTAAGCATATATTTACATTGTGATACAGTAATTCCAATTTTCAGCATTTACTTAAAAGAAATGGAAACATGTTAATGTCTTATAGATGCATTTATTACACAAAGTAGCAGGCTTATTCATGATAGTTCAAAACTGGAAACAGCTCACATGTCCATCAATAGGAAAATGAATAAGTTGTGGTCTATTTATGCTATGGAAATCAGGCACCTTACCAAGAAAATACACAGAGCAATATGGAGAGGTGAGGATTGACTAGAAGGAAGTATAGGGGAACTTTCCGTGGAAATGTTCCATGTCTTTGTGGGGGAATAGTTACGTGTGCCTATAAGATTTTCAAAACTTATTCAACAGAACATCTAATATCTGTACATTTTAATTATTTGTTAATTATACCTCAATAAAAAATTTTTTTTCTGGAGGCTGAAGCAGGAAGATCACTTGAAGCCAAGAGTTCAAGACCAGCGTAGGTATCATAGTGAGACTACTGTCTCTTAAAAAATTGACTTAAAAATTAGCTGGGTGTAGTGGTGAATGCCTGTATTCCCAGCTACCCAGAAGGCTGAGGGTGGGAGGATTGGTGAGCCCAGGAATTCCAGGCTGCAGCGAACTATGATTGCACAATTGCACTCTAGCCAGGGCAACAAAGTGAGACCCTGTTTCCCAAAAAAAAAAAAAAAAAAAAAAAAGAAAAGCTATTAATGTCTCGTTGTTTCCTACTGGGTGTATATAAACATACATACAAAATGCCTAGAGAGATAAATCAACAGCAGACTTGATCATCTCTGTAAAGACAAGGACAATGCCTGTCTTACTTATTCTTAGCAACCTATTACCCAGCTAGCATAGTGTCTGACACATAGTAAATATTTAATAAATATTTCTTGTGTGAGTAAATATTCTCAATTTACCATGAATATTTTTCCATGTATTTTCATTGCTGTGTGATATATTATTATTTTGGTATACTACATTTTATTGATCCAGGTCCCCCAGTGTTTCTTACTTTGGTTACTTTTTTAAAAAATAAAATACATTAAACATGGATGCAGCCATTCAAGAAAATACATTTGTCTTAACCCCAGCCAACACTGGGTTATTTTTGTTTTAATCTTTACCAATTTAATAGACAAATAGTGGTATTTCATTTTATTTCTTTGATTACAATGGAAAAATAAGGTATATTTAATAACTATTAGACTAATTACTAGAAGATGGAAACCTATTCTGTATCTCCACTGGGAACAAAATTTAAAATGGACTTAAGTCAATTACATAGCATTTGAGTTCTCATTTATGATTATTATTTTGATACTAAGAGGAGAAGTCTTAAAGTAGGAGAAACCTCTCAAGAATATTTAATTATTACATGTCATTAATAAAATTATTTTTGGCAATTTATTTTCAAGTAAATTAATTTATATGTTAACAGTAGGTAAACATAAAGGCAATGTGCCTGGGTGATGGAAAGAAACCTTTGCACTGAGGATAGTAGCAAAGGAATAAATGTTTCATCAGTTTTTGTCTTTCCTGATATGGCCAGAGAATGAAGCATATGAAATACCTTTTCATACACAGAGCCAAGTAACAAATGGTTCCATCACTGGCAACTTAGAGTGGCATTTGTTTAGAAAATATAACAAAGTTAGCCAGGTATGGTGGCTCACGCCTGTTATCCCAGCACTTTGAGAGGCCAAGGCGGGCAGATCACAAGGTCAAGAGATCGAGACCATCCTAGCCAACATGGTGAAACCCCGTCTCTACTAAAAATACAAAAATTAGCTGGGCATGGTGGTACAAACCTGTAGTCTCAGCTACTCAGGAGGCTGAGGCAGGAGAATCTCTTGAACCCAGGAGAAGGAGGTTGCATCGAGCCGAGATTGTGCCACTGCACTCCATCCTAGTGACAAGGCAAGACTCTGTCTCAAAAAAAAAAAAGAAAAAGAAAATATAATAAATAACAAAGTCAAATATGCTTCTTACTGGTTTACCTCAAATCTATTTCTTGTATAATATTTGCAACCCTAAATAGTTTTATTGCTCCTCCTTAGAAACTGCAGGATTATCACTCAGCAGTAACTTTTAATGAATAGCAAAACTTGTTATTTGTCTATACAATGGACAGAACAATTTAAGGAGGAAAGGAAAGAAAAAAATGCCTTTGAAGTGGTTAGTGCTTAGACCTGCCTTCTCAGATAAAACTGATTAATAGCCACAACACAAGTAAATACAACACAATTCTGATTAGGAAATTGTGATCTGAACATTGTGGAAGCCATTCTTCACTTTATAAATAATAATAATAGCAAATACATATTGATCGCTTACTTTGTATCAGATACCATGCTAAACATTTTATGTGTACTTCCTCATTTAATCTTCATCATAACCCTCTGAAGTAGCTAATATTATTACCTCCATTTATAGGTGAGAAAACTGAGAGCGTAGAAAGTTCCATGGCAGGGCCAGTACCCCCCTTGTCTGGCCCCAGTGTTCTATAGCCATATTCTATACTACCTCCTTTGTGAACAGGTTGCTTGTGGGAGTCCTTTAATTATAGGATTTCTTTAATTAAAATAAATTAACTTTTGTATTTTATTGACAAAAGTTACTTTTATAAAACTATAAGCTATGAAGCCAACTACAAATTTTGGTGGATATGATTCTACTCACACATTTCCCAATCCTTCCTTTTCTCATGTCAGAATATTCCATTAAGCCGGTTGGCACTTTGTATAAGACTGTAAACACCAAATTATGTTAAAATAAACATTTCTTTAAGAGAGAATAAGACTTTCACAAGCAGCTGAAAGTTTTGCCACAGGTTGCATGCATACCACTAGTAGGGAAAAGTATATAGAGTAAATGTTTTTACCAAGATATTTCATTTCTCATCTAACTTGGTTTCACTAAAAATATATGTCAATAGGAGTTATTTCTCGTGCCTATTTGTAGCTATACAGTTGAAACTTCGTAACTATTAAAATTTGACTAAAAGCCACCACTCCTTTTTTAGTGCTGCTTGTTTCTCCCCTGCATTCAAATTCCTTTTCTCTAAAGATCCAGAAACAGTAACTTCCCATTTTTTACACTGACTGTTTGCCTTGGTTTTGTATCCCTCTATGTCTACTCCTTTATGAAACTACATATACCACACATGGTAAACAGTGAGAGGATTTGGGTAAATGGGATCATGGAATGGACTCTTTTATTAGAATAAGGAGAATAGAATAATTCATCCTCCAGAGGATGAATTAAGAACAATTTCAGGAAGAAGGATCCACTTGGGAAAGGATGTCTGTGCAAATGGGTACTGTCATACACATCCACATTTATCTTTCCCTTGCCAGTGTCTTACTTTTTTTTTTGAGACAGTCTTGCTGTGTCACCCAGGGTGGAATGCAATGGTGCAATCTCGGCTTTCTGCAACCTCCACCACCCAGATTCTCAATGCCTCAGCCTCCCAAGTAGCTAGGATTACAGGCTGGTCTCAAACTCCTGGCCTCAAGTGATCTACCCACCTTGGCCTCCTAAAGTGCTGGGATTACAGGCATGAGCCACAGCACCCAGCCAAAAGTTCCTTACTTTCTTACTGGCCCCACAGAATCCCAGTTCTGTTATAAACAAAAACCTTTGCTTTTCTGCTTTTCTTATTCTAATTAAATTTCACCTGAAAAAATGTTTTATGTATGTAACTGAGAAGACTATTAAATATATTACTTTCCTTTCCCATCCCCTAAACTTTTTTTTTTCTTTTTCTGAGATGGAGTCTCACTCTGTAGCGAGGCTGGAGTGCAGTGGCACGATCTCGGCTCGCTGCAACCTCTACCTCCCAGGTTCAAGCGATTCTCCTGTCTCAGCCTGCCGAGTAGCTGGGATTACAGGCACCCATCATCACACCTGGCTAATTTTTGTATTTTTAGTGGAGACGGGGTTTCACCATGTTGGCCAGGATGGTATCGATCTCTTGACCTCGTGATCTGCCTGCCTCGGCCTCCCAAAGTGCTGGGATTACAGGGGTGAGCCACCACGCCCGGCCGCTCCTTTTTCAAAGTTGCATTCTCAAGATCCAACATAATGCTTATTAATACACATAGTTACTTAAATGTATTTTTGCAGTCATTGTGCTTGAATTTTTTCCCTTCCAGTTACCTCTCTATCTATAAAGATTTGGTTAGGCAAGCCTTCTTAGAAGTAAAGACCTGATTTTTGAAAAGAGCTCCCATTCTTTACTTACAGGCAATATAACAGTATTTTTAACTCTATGGTAACTATGGAGAATGACCCACTCACTGACAGCAGACAGTTAAGATTGGGGCTACTGTGTGAAGTCCTCCTACATTCGAGGGATTTTAATCCTAACATCCACCTGTGAGGGTAGGTATTATTTTTGTTACAAGTGATTAAACTGAGGCTGGGGAGGCTTAAATGGCTTTCCCAGGATCTTATACCTAGTATGTAATTGAGCTGTAATTTGAGTTGATACTTAAAATCTCTGCTTTTTCTGCTGGCCCATACTATTTCCGAAGGAAGGTCAGACATCATATGATCATATGTGGGGAATATTCGAATTTCTGTTTTTTAATCTTTAGAGTAGTTCTCAGTTTAGTTTTGGGGTTTTATTTTTTAGGTATAATTAACATACACAGAATTCTCCCTTTAAAGTACACAGTTCAGTGGTTTTTAGTGTATTCACATTGTTGTGTTGCTATCATCACTAATTCCAGAACATTTTCATCCCCCGCAAAGAAACCCCTGCCCATTAACAAGCATTTCCCATTGCCTCCCCACCTAATCCCCAGTAACCACTAACCTACTTTCAGTTTCTTTGGATTTGCCTATTGAGACTATTTCACATAAATTGAATCATACAATATGTGGCCTTTTGTGTCTAGCATAGTGTTTTCAATGTTCGCTCATGTTGTAGTGTGTATCAGTACCTCATTTCTTTTTATTGCTGAATAATATTCTGTTGTATGGATATACTACTTATAGTCTTCTTATTAGTCATCCTAGTAGATGTGAAGTGTTGTCTCATTGTGGTTTTGATTTGACTAATGATGAACATTTTTTATCATGTTTATTGCTTTATTATTGCTATATAATGTTATGTTTTTCTCCAGGGAGACCTGTCCATTCAAATTATTTGCCTATTTTTAAACTTAATTTCTATCTTTTTATTTGTTGAGTTTTAAGAGTTCTTTATATATTCTGGATA